CCCTATGATAGACTGACCAAGTGAGATTAATTCTAATAGACTGTTGTGTAAACAACGTCATCTACACGTCATTTCGGCGTAAACACCAACAATAATGACGGGACAGCCTGTATATAGAGTAATTTCAATTTTCTTAAGAACAAATCCGGTGGGTTATTTACGAATAAACACAAAGTTGCTTTATTATACTTGAATTTGTATCTCAGTGTTTGTTTTTCCTTTTAAAAATGTGATGCGTAATTTTTTCATTTTAATTTTATCGCGTGATCGTTGCGATAAGAAGTTTTATTGTTAAGGTGCAAATTAATTTGCAACAAAATGCTCCGAACGAACCCAACGCGCCGTAAAATGTGTATTACAGTCTATAGAGCGCGCGTGGCGTTCGGGATATTTTATTCCACGCACCTTCAGGTTAATTAACGTACGTGTTTTGGTGCTGTTAACGAAGACGCATGTGTTTCGAAGAATTGAACATTTGGTATTGGAGAAGTGGGGACGTTTGGCGCATCCCGTTGTGATTGGCGATTTATTTTAAAATTTTTATAGTAGTTTATTTTATGGTGGAAGTGGCTTTTATTTAAATACTGAAGATAACAAGACTGCTGGTTTCGCGATGGTTATAGAACATGCACATTTGTTTACGCGAATTTTTTTGTGGGCAGTCAGCCTGTTTATGTGAAAACGTAATTCCTCAAAATATCGAAATAATGTGTGCAGAAGAAAATTAACTAAAGTGGTGTAAGAAATAGTGTTTTCCGATTACGCAGAAAGTTTCGTCGATTTGAAAAAACCATATTTCCCTATAATTACCTCATTCCATTGAAATTTCCTCCTATTTCCCAAAATCTCCTAATATTTCCCCAGAATTTCCTCTAATTTCGTCCATTTCCTACATATTTCCCAGATATTTCCTCGAAATTCCCTATATGAGAGACAAAAATTTCCCTTGCGATCAGCCCCTCCGAGTTGGTCACGACTTATGTTTCCTTCATTGCCTAAAGATTGCCACAATTTCCCTTAATTACCTCATCATTTTTAGCGTTGCATTAAATTTTCCCAAATTTACACAAAATGCGTGTGATCTTGTGTTCTGATCTTTATGTCAATTCGATCGAAAAAAAGTGATCATGAATCTCTGTTACTGTTTGGTATAGTTTTCTTTTGATATTCACTGATATCCTTTTGGATATGGCGCCTCGAGCGCTTCTCAACAACCCTCCCGATGGTATTGATTAGAATATACTGTACTGACTCATACACCTTCGATTGTATGAGCCGAAATAGCATTCTAATTAGAGTTTGGATATTTTTGTAACAGCTTTTAATTGAGTGAAGTTTTGACTACTACGCTTCGAAAGATACGCTGCTAGGAGTAACGAAATCAGACGGGGAACTCCTCTAATTTTTCGAAGCGCAGTCGTCAGAACTACATTCAATTAAAAATTGTTTTACCAAAAAAGTATCAGAACTATAATATTGTTAAATTAATCTTATTTTTTATTGATAGTAACCGACTATATAGCAGCAAGAAAGCATACATTTCGGAAAAAATACTCAGTCGTCAGAAAAGGTGTAATTCACAGAATGCTGAAATTTGATGCGAAAGTCAACTACATCGCGGAAAAGCCAAAAAAGACTTTTCCCGATCATCCTTAGAAGTTGATGTTATATAAAAGATTTTTGTTATTGTTATCCTAAGCAAAGTTGTAAAAATGATTGAATTTTGTGTTTTGGCAAATGTGGACTGTATATTATACAACACTTTTAGCGGAACCGGTACCATGCACGAGTTACATAACATCGATGACTTAAAATACCGAAATAGAGTAAAAATGTTAATTGGCATCGTCCGATGCATAATGGCCACATTAGCTACGCACGTAAATTCTTTAAATCGCATCGAAGGGATTTATTTCCACAGAAGCAACAACGCGTAAGATCTCTTCCGTTTTGTACCCAAAAATTTCCCAAGAGAATGCTCAGTCACTTCCAAATTCTTGAAGTGAGTTACGTAAAGGTTTATGAACTTTTCCGGTCTATTTCCTTATATCTTGTCCTTACTTTTAAAAATGTAAGAAAGCAAGGCATTCTTTTGATAGTCATCAAGTGTTACACTTGTTATTTGTGTTTCCTTGTAAGCGCGGAAGGAGTTTCGCAAAACCGTAACGTTGCAAAGATAATTACGGGCACAGTCTAAACTCATGAACGAAATCGTTGTACAAAGTGGAATGAAAAAAACAGATACCATCTAGAAAATATAATGGCATGCACCTGTGACGCCATCCTATCTTTCATCACACCAAAGAATAGAATCGAGCACAATTACTCGCCTGAAAAAAAATTGAAAGTCTTTTTTCCGGCTCCTCATTACGGGATTAAAAACTTTCTACGGAAATTTATTAAATTATTATAATCAAAAATGGTGATACGGCGAACTTTATGTACAAACAGCATGGGGGTTGCTAATTGCGTCTATAATAATATTTGAATTGCAACGATAAGCGGCACGTGAAGTAATTGATTCGCATGGAAGACTAAATAATTGGAAAGGGAAAGGTCGTGTAATATCCGAACTATAAATTAGCATCCGTACTTCCTTTGTGTTTATTTTTTTACAAAGGATTATTATTAAGTTGTTTAGTTAGTTATTAAAAAAGAGATAGTATTGACTTTTACGGAAGTGCAAATTAAATTTATTTTTGTTATAAATATGACAACACGTCGGAAATGTTGCCTGTAAATAACTGGTATTTTCTTCTTGAATGGGCCTTTCGATGAACCTCAAATTGAATCCGCGTTAGCGTAAACACTAACCAGGATGCTTGCAGAGGAATGAATGCTCATGCTCACGCCGGTCCGTAAGAAAAATGAGAAACTCCATGTCCCGTTTTCGGGGGTTGAAATCAATTGGTAGTTTTTTTTTACGCGGGGGTTAGGGAGAAGCTGTTCTGTCACAAAATACTTACTCCTGAAAATGATCGCGCCATGATTTTCTATGATTTCAAACGAGGACGAAACACCATCCAAGAGCCAGTGTGTTTACATTTCGTTTCCTAGATTGTAGTGTCGCTCCCTCAAATTTTTACGCCACATTTTTCAAATTTCATAGAATCTTCCCTATAGAAAGTTTGGAGTTTTTAGAATCTTAAGAACGTCCCACCGTCTTGAAAATTATGATAATCCTTATAAATGACTAAAAGCCTTATGGATTAGTAAGTATACCAAGAGTCCCAACGAAAAGGACCACCCTAAAACTCGGCAAATAAATGTTTTGAGAAAAATTCAAAAACCGATCGATTGTTATATCAAGAGGGTGTATGCACAAATAACGCTTGCAACTTTCACTCTATGCTAGGGGTTGCAACCCCCTAGAAAGGTCAAATAACTCGTAATATTTGAAGGTGATTTTAATTTTTAATACTGGCATTTTTCGAAAGAAAAAAATTTCCATGTTCTCCAATCCCAATTTGAAAACGATATGGAGGAGTTTTTTTCCAAGGTTGGACGACTAGATGGTAGTTTCAACGTCTTATAAGTAAGGTAATGTACATGTTTATATTCAATACAAATAGTGTCCTTCAAGGATTTTGATTAGTAAAATTATGAGTTTTTGTACCGTGCATTTAAGCTATTCTTGAAGCATTGTAAATCAAATTTGTGTAGGGTATAGTTTGGTGCGCTATCTGATCAAGGACAAATTGTGTGGGGTTTTTACATTAGGTATAATTCATGAAAGAAATCCTAAAACTAATTAATAGCAAACGATATAACTGAAGGACTTGTCCGTACAACAGCAAGTTCTGTGAATCAGCCAAACTAAGATTTTTCTGAATTTATTCACAGCGCCTTCAAGGAAAGGGTAGTGCGTCAAGCGTTCAAAAATATTTAGGAATAAATCGATTGTATTTATCCATCTTTAATAATGATAATAGCGAGGATAATAGCAACGTCAGCATAATACGCCACAAAAATATAAATGACATTAACTAAGTCGGATATTGACAGGGTCAAATAAATAATGAGGAAACAAACTGTCCAAATTCGCCAAAAAGTATTGCAAATCATTGCAACAAAACAAACTGCAGAGCATAAAAGTAAAACAAAAATGAACCAGGATAATAATATATTAATTCCATTCCATTCCAATAAATTAAATCAAGACTTCTGATTTTATGAAACTGATTCGTGATCTGAAGCAAATTATTCTTAAGTCACAACTTTTGTTGTGCATTGTCGTTCATAGTTTAAATAAAAATATGTAAATTCGTTGTAGACAAGAGAGAAATCCCCACAAAATATCCCCAAAGGCAGTACTAAAAAAGTTGGTGGTAAGTATGCATGGCACAGTCAAGATCTATCGGGTCCCAAAATACAAAGCATACAGTTTATCAGATGTGGCCTTTTTTTTAAATTTTTAGTGTGATCAAAGCAAAGCGGATTTGTTCACTACTATTTCCTAAAGAGAAATACATGGACCCGATCGACGATAAAATATCTTTCGTTTTTCATCATAAACAATGTGTCAACGTTGATCATCCAAAAGTACCATCTCTCAAGTTTTTTAACTACATACAGGCACTTTAAAACGACAGTAAGAATCAAATTTCCATATGAACTACTTAATGCATCTCTTTCTTGAAAGTAACAAAAAATAATTTCGCTCGTCTTTGTTTATAATAATGAAACACAAACAACTCATGATAACTGAGAAAAAAGACTGTAAATCACACAAGTTATCTAATAAAAAAAGAAACAGGTCAAAAGCGCTTTCTAGCAAAAAGTAGATGAACTTGACTGGTAGGTGCTCACAAAAAAAAACAAAAAAAAATGCAAAAAATTAATAGAAATGTCAGATAGTATCTCTGTTATAGTTTTTTGTATGCACGACTGCAAAAAAAAGGGAAATATTATTTGATGGCGATTAGGTCATACCCTTTCAAATGCCATGGCTACAAAAATATGAGCTCTTGCCGAAATATTTCAGTAATGACCAAGCTTACCTGATGTTGTCTGTCTTTATAGATGTACAGCTTCTGCCCTTTCAGAACAATCCAAACCTGCTTCCAAGATCGATCTGCCGCGCGCTACAAATAAATCATTAACTTTTGAGAATGTCTCTCCTTGTGGGCAACTTAACCTTTCCGTCAATTTCGGCGATTTTGCAGTATAACGGACCCTCCTTTACAACTTGCCTTTCCTTTTCTAAGGGACTGCTCGGTATCGACGACCTATCCCTTTCCAACGACACGCTGCTGCTGCTACCGCCGCTGAGACTACCCCTATAAAATATTCAAAGCTTAATTAATACACAGATGCTAAGCTGTGGCATATGCTAAGACTGATCCAACACCAACGACTTAAGTAACATTTGCAATTTTCAAGTTAGTGATCATTATTCATGAACGCAACGGTTTTTTAGTACCATATTGCCCCCTATAACAAATTCCTCCACCTGGTACCCCCATGCATAAATTGAGTACCTACTTACAAATGTATACGCGATATTAATCGAGAGTGAAAACACAACGTTAGTTAAACACTGTAGCGCCTTAAATGATGTCGGTTACGAGTACTTACGTCCTGAGGTCATTAAAGATAAGAAATTAGATGCATGCGGACAACGCTGTGCACGTTTAAACTCACGTGTGGGGCACGCGATAATTTATGCATTTCAACCCGTAATAAGGCAACACGTGCGTTTTTCGTACTGTGATAGTGAGACCTACGTCAAAATTTTTCGATTTTTAAAGTATCCTATTATATAAAGGTTATTGGTGAGAAACTGTTTTAAATATTTGGGGAGGAATAATGCGAGTCAGTTTCAAATAATCAATATCAATATGTGCAAAAATGAGTCATAAAAGAATACGCTTAGCTTGCTCCAGAGACTGATGGAAGTAATGAAATTTTAGGAGAAGAGTGCGTTAGATTCAATCATTTTTTAACCAAATACTTACATACCCACTTACTACCTTAGTGCATTTTCCATACATTGATCAGTATTTTCCAAAAGGCCTTAACTATGTGCGTTATGTTTTTCTTTACATGCACATGGCATGGGCGGCGCATCTGATTTTTACAATATGCGACATGCTTGCCTCTAGTAGAAGCATCTGTAGTTAAATTTCAAAAAATGAAACTAGGTTTTCAACCTTACGGCGAATCGATCAGTACTTCCCGAAAGGTCATGTAACGGACAGAACTAAATATCTTGAAAACGGTAGAAGTCAAGGCGCCTCGGACGGACGGAGAAAGTGGCCATAAAACACCTCCCATCAATTGGAAAATGCGATAAAAATATCTCTACAAATAAGAAAGTTAGCATTGCGCAGTCTGCGTATGCGCAAATCTAGTGTTTACAATATGCGATATGTTCGCCTTTACTAGAGCATCTTTCGTTAAAATTTCACAGAAATATTTCCATAATATAGCTCTGGCACCTGAGCCAAGAAAAAGGTTGACGATTAATGTGCGCATGCGCAAACTGCTATAGCTATTTTTTGAATTTTTAACCATAGATGCTTCTAGTAAGGGCAAGCAGGTCGCATGTTGTAGAAATTCGGTACGCGCATGCTCAGACTGCGCAATGCCAATTTTCATGTTTATCGAGACATTTCTTTGACGTTTTAACCATAGATACTATTGGTAAAGAACAACATAGCCCACATATGTATTTTGGGAAGTACTGATAAATACATGGAAAATGCGCTAAAGTCGAAAAACCCTTTTCCATTTTTTAATTAAACTCCAGGTTGAACTATTGTCAATTTTGTTAATTTTTTGACACAACCAACCGATAAATACTCCCAAACCACTCCTGGCATATGGAATAACTGGTCAAACAATTGGTTCCATGCCCGCAGCGAAAAGGAAAATAAATACAGAATATGTACAATTCCCGGGCAGTGAGCTTCCGGTAGAACTCTCTATCGGATTCCGTGGATACATCTCGTATACATGTCGAAAACAAATGCCGTATAAGTATGCGAGCGGCCTTATTAATTCTAGATTTTTTAATTTTTAATTATCGATCGCCTGCGTGCGGGGTATGAATTTTTCTATTCTTGTGTCCAGTTGCTAGTGGGTTGTAGTGGAAACCATCCTGTACGATAAAAATTGAGTAAGAGAGCTTGAGCAACATACTATTTACACAAATATGCAAATTTTAAGCGATCATATTGTGTAAAATACAGGGAGGTGTCGTTTCTCTAGGTTGAAACAATGCCGGAAATGAGCACGAGCGAGAGTGAAGAAAAATACGTGTTGTTAACGTAATTGTGGTTTAAGTATTGGAAATAACAATCGGGACATACTGTATCTAAAATCATTCAAGTTGTGTCATAGGAACTGGAGAATTTCATTTCAAATAGACACAGAAAGTTATTAAATTGTCATTTTAATGCTAGTTATTTATTGAAAAGATAGTCAGTAATTGTTTAATTAATTGAATTCAATTTTTGTTTAAAATGCATAAATAAGGGCACATGTAATTGAAATTTAATCGTAATCTTGAAAGTTTAATTTGGTCAGGTGTTTAGTAAACAGGTCTTATCGAACAAAAATTGATTGGTGTGCCCGTGTCAATCCGGGCGACGGAGCGGAGTTTCGTGCGTTTCAACGGGAAACCCCCATATGGAATTTATGAAGAGAGGAGTTACTCCTTTAAATAAAGAAGTTTAAGGTCTTGCGCTTGAAGTTGTTACGCATGTGGTACCGAAGTTAAGAAGACAAAGTATTTATCAAGTTTATTAATTATTATTAAGCTCATCAAACCAGTTATGGATTACCAAAGTTACGTGTTAAAAAATGCGAATTCTAAAACCTGTTAGATCTGTGTAAAGTTTTGATGCGCCGTTCATCGCGTTCCCCATGTCCTGACCAGATAATTCGGATATTAATTAACAGAACTGCGAGCAAAACTGTGTGTAATTATTTTTTGTAGATCTCTTGAATTGTTTTTTTTCGATTTGACCGTTTTGCAAATGGGATGTATGTTTTCAAAAAGGCACTGTTAGCCTTACATTTTTCTTACAGTTTCAATCCCAATATGAGATTCAGGTAGAGTTTTATTTTTCTGTGTCAATTTTTGCTAATTTATTTTTATCCGAAGATTATCAAAATTTGAGTGATGATTTTATTGGAATTTACGGAACTTGATTGAGACCTTCGTATCTTTTAGATTTATAAGAGGACAAAGAGGTAGGATTTTATTGTGTCGGAACCCAGTCGTGAGTCTGAGAAAAATTTAAAAAGGGAAAGAAACTAAATGGGTTGAAAAGTACTGACTTTCAGAAAACACTTTAAAGAACACAAATTGCTTAGAATCAATTTTCGAACTTATTTTCAATGAAACAGGGATGGCGTCTACTCCCAGGGTAACGCAACAAACGTTAAAGAAGAGGGGTAAGTAGAACTTAAATCTTAATTTATATGAAGATCGGTGCTCCTTAGCGACATTATACGGGAAATCAAACGCGTTGAACTTGCGACAAAACCCTTTTTTTGTCCACCCTAAGTCTTAAAACTATAGCAGAATTTTCTATGTGCTAAGATCCCAAACCTTCAGACGAATAAACATATAGAATTCATGAAACGTCGAGGGAGAAACTACAAAAATTACAAAAAAAAGTATTCAAAAATTTTAGCAAATTCCGCTAAGGAGCACCGATCTTCATATAAATTAATAAATAATAAATCCAGTAAGTTCGCATAAAAATTCCAAGTCATGTTCCCTTCCGTTCCGATAGAGTTCAGAAACGTAAAATTTCTTATATCCGATAATCGTTATCTGCTCTTACCCAGCAAAAACTATTTAATCTAATCAAAAACAATTGCGAAAATCTGTAAAACACTGTCTACATGGAGTAATAGAATCATACTTGTCAAAGCCAACAATGAATTTATTAAACGTAGAAATGAGTTTCCCTCAAAATCAATAACTGAAAGGCGGAGTTAATCAAATATTCTCGTCAAATCTCAAATTGGTCGGATTAGTGCACTTGTAACTTGTCTCAATCAACCACTTAAATACTTTTCAAGTCGTGCAATTATTATAATCAAAATATTGAATCCACTTACAATAAGTGTGGTTGAATTACACAAATTGCGCGCATTTACATGTCTCACTCGTACCACTTGAAAATCAAAGGCAGGCTTGTCTTCGCATTTTTTTACACCGATCAATTGGACAAACGCCACGTTTAAAAGTCCAAGCGAAATTACCTCCAAGCAATTTTAAGTTAAAGCGCAAAAAATGTGAAAATAAAAAACCATGGGAACGTTAATAAATGAATCATGCATTAATTAGTTCAAGCAAAGGCTAACAAAAACGAAATCGCCGATCTAAATTTTCCAAGGACGCATTCCGCATTGCTTATTTACTCATTATTATTTATATACGATATAAACAATGAGATGTTCCCACAAAAACTTAGTGTCACATGCAAATTATATCTGCAGCGTATGCAGACGGAATAAAATTAAGTAGATAGTGAAAAGCTAAGCTCACCCCAAAGAATAAGCAGCGTCTTCAAAAAGCTTGCGAAGTTGCTGGATATCTCCAGGAAATAATGGAGGCCTCCATTTTCTATGAGAGCTAATAAAATATATAATAATATAAAACCCAACACCACGCGTACCACTGCATTTCGCAAGCATTGGCTCACCTTCGAATTTGGGGCGAAATTTCTCCATCGCTGAATTCCTCGACGTGCATCCTTCCGTTTCCGGTGGCTTTTAAATACGACTCCCTTCGCATCGCCCGCTCTTCATCAGCTACAAGAAACAACATTAATCCACGAAAATACTGGCATCACCTTACCCAAACTTGTGTTTTTCACCCTTCTAACAACGACCGCATTTTGCTCCTCCGAGTTAACTGAAACGTAACAAGCATGAAAGTGAAGTCACCCCCTGAAACCGTCCACAGACCAAAGCCAAAAAGTGCAATATCTACAAGTTTTAATTTCTAAACGCTGAACTGTAACAGGAAAAGTATAGGCGAACCAAGCAAAAAGGGGTAAGGGGGAAAACATTTACAAGACATTTTGATGTGCCTGAACATCATCCCATAGTGGTTAATTGCTTGCGGTGAGATGGTTAGTTAACCCCTAAAACTGCAAATTAATCTACCTGGAGAGCTAGGCTGCACTGGTGACGATTCGCCCGATAGAGACAATTGAAGTTTTCGAAGTGGTCTAACTGGACTTCCCAAATCAAGCTGATTAGGACGTACGGGCGATGGCTTTAGGATGGGAGGTGTTGCGGGTATTATAGCGACCGTGGGATTAATTTGTAAATGCTCTACGGGTTCGGGAATTAGAGGCGAGACGGGCTGTTTTGATTTTGGCACAGGCGACGGCGACTTGATTGCTTCTTGAACGTCCCGAGCAACATCTGCCATGTCGAGATAAAAACATTGCAAATTATCTCAAAACTCTTTGTTGTTAAATTTAGTGTAAGGGCAAATCTAAATTTTTTAATTTAAAAAAGCGGCGCTTTCCCCAAAAACAAAGGAGGTTTTCCAAGGATAATTAGCACCACAACTATTTAGCTTACTTACACGGTTTCATTTACAGTATGATTAATAATGCCTGGCAGAAAGTTACTATTTGCAATAGCTATCTGGAAATACCCAAAACGCACGTAAAAATGAGTATGTTTGAATATCAAATAGTTTTAGCGCAGTTTTTTAAAAATTAAAAAAATGTGCTATTGTTCGTGGTTTGTCCGTCCGTCTGTCCGTCCGGACCCACTTCTGTGGTTTTGAACTACTTTTAGGGGAATTGTCCTAGAGTCCTGGAAATTGTTGCAATAGAGTGCATAACTTTTATATGCGACAACCACTTGATCTCAGATTTTGCATATGCATGCCTTTAGTGGTGCCAAGCAAAACTTGAGAAAATTTGGGGGGAGGGTGGGGTCACACACGTTCTACCCTTGAAAGGTACTTTCCTGGGGGTAGAGGGCGACTGGTTTTATCCTGCAAGATACTCTAATGAAAGGTCTAAGTGAAAGGAATTAATTTCAACCAACCATAGTCCTCCCCCTCTCTCCCGTATAGTGATCGGTTATAATTCCTTATATCTTAAGAGCGGATTTTCGGAGGAGGGTACTCACAAAGAGAGATTGTGACGTTTGGAAAAAAGTTAGGTATGACAAAAAAAAAACAAAATTATTTTCAAGATGCCTCACAAAATTTAAATGTGCTTGCTTTTCTTTTAATTCATTTTTAATGCCCTTGATATGCTTACCCTTGATTATTTTGAAGTAAAACAAATACGTTGTTCTTACCACCGCCCTACAAAAACTCCAAAACTGTCAGACGTGGAGAACTGATTGTTATTATTTACAATTCACTTTCACATTAAATGCTGCATTTTTGCAAATTTATTTATAAAAAGGGAACTCTCACTGTGGCCGGCTGGCAGCAAATGCAGGTCCGTAGAAAAATGCTTGTAGAAAAACGAGGAGTGTAAATGTACCTACAGAGGCCGGCGACATCTGGGCGCCATCGTCGAGCGTGTTTACTGACGGGGTGATTTTCTTCTTCTACAGTTTTGGTCCAATTATTTTCAAATTGGTGTCGTCGGAAAGATCTTGTAAACCCGCACAAATCCTGCGTGGCGGATTTTTTTTCTAGGAGCGAAATTAACCACCTTTTGCAAGACGCGCGTCTTCAAGGGGTAGTCGACTTTGGGCGCCCAAAAGTTTCTTAGAACTCGAATCGTGATCTCTCTTTCTCGCATCGCCAATAGAAGCACGAGCTATGAGAAGTGACCCAAAAATTGAGTCCTATTCTGTAGAAGGTTTTTAGGTCAATTAACCAAAATGCGAAATGTTGTAGCTCCCGACAAGATCATACTGATGGTGGAGTCAAACCTTCAAACGCGAATTGCGGGGGAACGGGACGTCGGAACTGGGAACAAAGGGAATGTGATAGCCTTCGATAAGATGTTATTGATGGTGTAGACAAAACTGGATAATTATTAGAAAGTGAACACAAAACCTTCCCCATACACTTGGAATAATCTTTAATTGTAATGCTTTACAATTAAAGATTATTCCAAGTGTATGGGGAAGGTTTTGTGTTCACTTTCTAATAATTATCATACAACCCCATTGCGAGTTCAACAGAGATTGGACACCAAAATTAAAACTGGATAATACACGAGGACTTAGAGAATTTTTTTTTTGTAAAAAGACGGAAAATCCCAACACGAAAATTCAGAAGTACCCTCCATAAGTGGTTCTTGAGATGGGATCAACCGAGGGGTCTTGTAAATTGACCTGTATTTACCCCTTTCCCCTTTAGTTACCAAAGAAAATGGCATACCAGAAAACGTACATGTGAAAATTCAGCACGTGACAGCATCTATTTCAGAGTGGTATCGCAAATCTGATTGGCCCGTGACAAACAATAGTTCATTTTATTACTGGACGCCATGTTAATAAAGGCGTTAATTAATTACAAAGGATAGTAGGGATCATTCCGGGTTTTTGTAGAGCCATTCGTTCTTGGGCAACGAGATCGTTTAGTACGTGGTCCAAAATATTAGCTTTGTTTCGAACATAAAACGGGAGATTCATTCGGATCTGGATTACCATCAGAGCAAAAATTGTTTAGCCAACAAGTAAATTGGTTCTCTGAGAGATTGTCGGCAAGGGAATTAATCAGTGACAGAGTCCGGTCCTTTGATCGCAGGGGTATCAATGTTGCACGTAAACCCGTTATTCAAATGATTTTTGCAGCTACTATTGTATCCAAAAAAAACAGTTGTGAAGTGATGTGTAAAATTTGGATTCCGTGAAAATTTCTCTTTTTGGTGGTGGCACAGCATCATATTTTATAAAACCCGTTAATAATAATCTTGCTTACTTACAATCTAATCACAGAAGTTCATTGTTCGAACAAACTGTGTCCAGAGAACAATTGATTCGCCTGAGAATTTAATGCAGTGTCCCGAAATATTGTCGATGTAAGGAGGGCCGACCGAGTTTATAATTGATTGAAGTTATCAGGAAAATTGGATCTGTATTTTCTTAAAGATATCAACCTCTGGGCAAATTTGAAACCGTTTGATCAGCATGTATTTTTACCATCTATTAACCCATTAGAATTGGCTTTGATAGAAAAAAATCAGTTTCTCATTTACAATTAGTTTGTTAAAAGTTCAAGCAAAAAAATCTCCAAAGTCTTGAGTTTTTTATGATTACTCATTATACGATAATTTGTGTATAAAAAATGTGCCGTATATTGTTGTTAGGTTTGGCATTAAGGGGCAATTCACAAAAACGTGGCCACGAACTGGAAGTTATTTTGAAATTTATGGGGAGAACTGAAAATAGGAAAAAGGAGGTCAGTTTACTTATTTTGATAAAGAATTTTCAAGGTCATTTAGAAGATCAAAATTTCCTTTCAAAGAAGGGATGGTCAACTTCATATGCAATATTGGAAAAAAACCCAACATCTATGCTTTTCTACCAAAAATATAAGAAAAGTACGAAAGAACTGAATATTGAAAGTTAACAAAGACGAAAATTAGTTAAAAAGGGACGAAAATGCTGCTTTCCGGGGTCAACCTGCTCGAAATCGACATTTGGAAACTACTAAGCGGGGCCAATGATTTTTGTGAAAAGTTTTGTGTGAATTTTAACGCGTGGAGAATTACGTAGGGGCAAATCTCTGAGAGAATGAACATACAACTTTGTCAACACGAATAATTAATCTTCACTCCCGCCGAGATTAGTTTACTAACATTTGTATCCAATTATCAGGGAACAACAAAGTTGGGCTAATTAAATTCAGTCAACCCGTGTTGTTAAAGAATGTGTTAAGTGAACCCTAACGTTAATTAAATTAGCGATTTGCATGGCCTGGCAGGCATTATTAATCAATATCTAGATTTATGTCACATTAAAAAAAGTGTAATACCTTCCTCCATTTTATTAGACTGCCCCAGAAAAGTTTTCTCCTGCTCTTCTTTGTGAACGGCTTGCATGGCAGACGTCCACGAATCTGCGGAATTGGACCGAACTCGCATTTTAACGGGATGATTGTCAAGGTCGTGTTGCATATCTATAAAACATCGTCAATTGTAAAACAAACAAATGCGAGTGGTCATAAAAGGCATTCGGTTATATTGGTAATAAATCTTTAAGATCGTAAATTAAAGACGAAGCATTCACAGTAGTTAAGAGGTTAGCGTAACACGTACAAACTCCTAACCTTTGGTGTGCCTGTATTCCGCAGGAGGTGGCACGTGTATGTATTTGCTTCCGAAAGGAATAATTACATTTCCCGAAAGCTTACTCTGAATAACTTCATTGATACTGCTACTGCTAGCATTGCTTCCTAATGCGCAGAAGACAAAGTTACGAATGGTAGCAGTTGGAGTAATCCCTCACCTGAGCTATCCAACGATCTGCTGTCGCGATGCTGCCTCCTCAATAGCGTATTTGTCGAACTCCCGCTTGTATCACGTCTTGGTTCCGAAGACCGTGATTCGAATTCGTGCGCTCGAATCGTCACATGCGGCACTACGCGTTTCGAGCTAAGCCTTGCGAGTTCGCTTTTGTAAAAGCTGGTGCGATCCTTTAACATCGGGTCGTCTTCAGGTAACGGCCGCCCGCTCTCAAACTGCTTGGTACGTTTCGACACCATTTGAAGATTCGTCAGGTACAACCTGAAAAGGTGAATTAGTATGCAACACTGGAAGAATGACAATACCGTCTGTCCTCATCCTCCATCGTTAGCGCGCCGTTCATATCGCCGGGATAATCCAGGGCGCTGGGCGCCTCCGTAGCTTCCTTCATCTTAACGGCGCCCGAAACGTTCTGCCAGTCCTTAGGGGAGTTCGCGCCCCTTTGCGTGGGAGCGTTGTAGGTGAAGTGCCCCGTGGAGTTGTCCGTGGGCGATTGTATGCCCAAATCCCTCTCGCTGTCGATGTCCGTTTTGACACGCTGAAAGTTTTGATGGACCGGCTTTGCTGTTCTCGACGGAGAGTCCTGCCGTACCGGTTCATTAGGCGGCCACGTTGATTTCTCCAACTTTTTAGGTCGTCCGTAAAACTCTCGTTGTATCGTTGGACCTTCAACGGGATGACTAGGCCGTCGCAAAAATTCCTCTTTCTGCTGTAGGTTTTTACGTAACCTTGTCATGAGAACCGAATCGTCCACGTCTTGGCCCGTTAACGTCGACACGGAGTCGTAGGAACTTAAACTGTCTTTGCTTCCGTCCGCGACGGAAGATGATAGCGAGGAAGTGGACTGCCTTCGTCCGCCATCGTCTAAACTTAACCTACAGCCGATGGTGTTAGGGTAGTTGAACGTTTGCATATTTTCGTTAGCGCGCGGTTCGGGGTAAGTCGCTTTTGCAGAACTCTTCATTTTAGTTCCGCCGACAACCATCTCATTGGATCCGGTACTTACAGACGAAGTGTCGAAATTTTGGTAGAGATCTTTGTTTGAGAATGTACTACCTTCGCTTGCCCTTCGACCCATTTTTCTATATACGGGCACTTGCGGCTGTGCCCTTCTCCTACTGGGGTCATCGATAACGTGTGATATTTGGTCGTAGTAGGCAAACTCTTTTGGGCTGTTGCGTAGGAGATTATCGGCACTTCTTTGTTGTTGTCTGTTGGTTACTTTCGCTGGATTTATGGTACTATAAATAGGTGCATCTTGTAACGATTTCCACGAGGTATCGTCAGCGTGGAATTCGTGAGTGGGATGCGTCGAACGCAGCAGCCGTCTGCGGTCTGGCTTAAGATTTTGGTTACTTATGGGATTGTGTGCGGTTTCGGAGAAAAACTGGTGAAGAAGAAGGTTAGGTAGTTATCGATGGATGGAAGATTTCAACTTACTTTTTGAAGAACGTCGTCTTCTTTTGATACAACCAGTAAGTGTAAGTACTCCGGACTGTGCTGAATTAATTGTACTACTTGTTTGTATGATTTGTCGTTGACCAAATCCCCGTTTACGGCTACTATCCGATCCCCGTGTTGTAAACCCGCTTGTTCCGCTGGACTGTTTGGAAATACGTTTTTCACAAAAATTGTGTCCATAGGAGCGAGCAAAGTTCCCGCTGCGGCATGTCGGTTGTTAATTGTCTCCTATACGCACATAAAAAAAAGGTGTTAAATAACAGAAGCTTTGTTAAGGTGATATTGTACAAATGTCGTAATAAAACCGCATGTAACGCATATGTATTTGTTCCAATTCGACCAAAACCACCGCTGAGATTGATACGATACAACCGCAATAGTGCAACTTAAAAATATCATAGGAAACTATGACTTACCTGAATTGTAGTAGGAGGATATACAATAAAATGCCGCAGCGTGAACCCGAAACTGTCTCCATGTTTTCGCAAATATAAACTTCTAGGCCCTCTGCTTCCTGGTGGCAATGGTACTACTCCGGCCGAACGAGACTGCAAAGAAACGAAATTTTAATAGACGTCCAGGTACGATGGACCAGATGTTATTTAAATATGTAACGCGGAAGAAATATGATCTGTACACGCATGCTAATTAAACGTTCTAAATACAGAAATTTTAACGATTTCTGGCAGAGCCACTGCGTAAAATATGAAGATGTCAACTGCATTTATAGACTGCACTACACCTTTCCTCTACTTCCCCGGGTTCTTTTTTGACGTGCAACTATCAACGAAAGATAAGCTCTGATAAACGTGTGTACATTAGGAATTGATAATCCTAAACAACCGAACGGTCCGGATCCGAAATATTTTTGGTCAAGCGCCAACAAACATTCTTAGAAAGATAAAAAAAACGTACAATTTTTTTAACGAATCGAATGACAGCTAGTCCTAGCGCTAACTGTAAAGTGCAATAAAAAAAAGTAAGCCACCTCGACTAAATTTTCGTGCAGCCAATAATTATAAGTTATTTGGTTTTATAATGTTTACGTTGATTATATAGACATTAAGATACCATTACTGCGCGCTGTTTTTGGGAGACAAATACGAATTATAAATTTTTTCTCAGCAACGCACGTGTGAATTAGCATTGTGATTATAATGGTCGTCTTTGTTTTCGTGTTTATGGTCTGAAATTTTTTGCGCGATACGGATAACGTGTGACACTTGCGTATAGCCCTTTCCTAAACCGACTTTTTCGCCCACCTCTCACCTCGTCACTCGACCACACAATGTTTTAGCATAGACCAGGTTTAGGGTATGATTTTAATTTGAAAAATCCAAAAATTTACAAAAAGGCGCATTTCCACATGGCTATTTTAAAAAAAAGTTGCTCCAACCAAATTCGTGTTCAGCCATTTAACCAAAATGGTAATAAACAATCTATTTTCTGACGTGTAGTTTTAATTCGCTCATATATGAACCATCATCAGTTAAAAATTAAAAAAAAATGGTATCATGATTTCTTTGTTTCTTATTTCAAAATAAATACAATTTTCCTGAAAATTTCATCAAAATTGATCAAAAGTACATTGCGTATTCAGGTACTTATGGCGGCCTGTATATTTGAACTTTTTAAAAATGGAGATTTTCACTTTTTTCCAATTTTCTACGAAACAATGTACCTATTTTTTTTTCAAAATATCGCATCGGAATATCCATCAGCATCTAACCGAATCTGTAAGTATAATAATAACAAAGATAGCCATGTTATCTTACTCTATTTACGACACCCTGTATATCTAATATCTAAACAAACGCTCTCCTTTGGGTTTCTATCGCGCAACTACAGAGCATGAAATCAGGAGAAAGAGCGTACAAAAAAAAACGAAGAATCTGAAGAATGCGAAGAAATGGAAAAATCTTGTGGAAATCAATAACTTCAAGAGTTCAAGTAACTGAAAATCTGACTGGGATTTCAATAATCGAAAAGAGAGGCAGAGAGATCTAAGCATTTAAAGAAGATACAAATTGGAAGATTTAGACGAATTCCAGGAACTTTTAAAAATGTAATGGAAGGATCTACATAATCATAAGATTCTAAAGACCTTATGGGATGGCACGAAGAAGAGAAGAATTTTCAGAATTTCAATATCCAAATGAATTCGAAGATACTGAATAATTCGAAAAATTTGGAAAATGGAAGAATGCAAAGTGTCCAAAGGATACTGTCTACAAGAATGTAAAAAACCACAACAAAATGGAAAAAACGGAAAAGAATTAAAAATTTGAAAAGCTGACACACGAGAAGGATCCGCAGACTAAGAAAAATCCGAAAAAACTGAAACATAATGAATCGAAAAAACGAATAAACGTATCCAAAGAACCGAAAGAATATGAAAAGTTCAAAAAAGTGAAAAAAAACTGAAGAATCAGAACAATCTGAACGGTCAAAAGAAGCATTCGAAGCATCGTAACGATTTGGATGGTTTGAAGAATCTTCGAATCAATTAGCTTCATAGCTCGGATCATGAGATTAAAAAATTCACGGACTAAGAATAACAATGTACAAGGTCCTGAAGAATCTTAACTAGGTAACCTCAACAATCCGTAGCATTTGATGTAATCAACAAATCGGAAGAATCCAAAAAGTTTGAAAGCCTGAAGCACTAGCAGAAACAGAAAAATTTAAACAACCTTGAAAATCTGATGAAAAAACTGTCATTCTAAAATTTCTTATTTTAATTGTCGACCGCTTGTGTGCAGGGTAATATATCCAATTGGTAGCACTTCGTTTCAAGAGGGCTGTGTCCATCTCGTCTCCTCTAATTTTGATATTATATTAATCAATTGTACTTAGAAAATGTGAGGACAGAAGTCCTTAAATTGTTAAAATTGTTATTGTTTTCCATGTCATAAATTAGTAATTTTTCCTCACATGTATAACCAAAATGTACCCTTTTCCTTTTCAACCACCTTTACATGTTCTCGTAAATTTAAGCTTGATAATGACCTTCGGGTCGAAACTATAGTCGCTGTCACCTAATGCCTTTATTTTAACTACCGGAAATAATAAAAAGAAGTATGGGGAAGGTTTAGTGTCTTTTATCAATCTACTTATAGTAATATATCCATACAAGTTTTTATTTTTTTCATGGGTTTCGAAAGAAATTTTTGTCATTGACAATCAATTGTGTGTATTCGCTATTCGAATCCATTGTGCGACCCGGATAGCTTTCAAATCGGATTTTTTTCGTGCCCAGGTGTTAGTAAAATTGTTTGGAATTTTCGGAGTTGATCGAGGGTATTGAGTGAATTTATAAAATATGAAAAATTTAAAAAAATAAAAAAATGGAGTTAGGAAAAAGGGTGATAAACGAGAAGAATCTGACGTCCGATGAACCTGTACAAACGAAAGAACGAATCCGAAAGGATCTGCAGAATTTAAAAAAAACGACAAAGCAAACAAGTTGAATTGTCAGAGAACTGAATAATCTGGAACATAACATTTTGAACGTTTTGAAGCGAAAAATCTAAAATTATAATTCTGGTAAAAGACAGTTAGGCAAAATAAAAAGATTTTTAATTTTGCGTGAAGTGCAGAATGATAATGATTTCATTTTCGAGCTAACACTATTCAGCCAACCTAGGTAATGGAAGCCAAAAAAAAATGTCATAATTGCTTAAGCTAAATCTGATCAGACTAGACAATTTCGTAGGTTCTTATTCCGATAAGGTTGACCTAGTAAAATCTATTAAAAATAATTTCATAACCTTTTTTTCTAAATTGTATGATTGCCCTCAATAAATTCGTCGAGAGCTGATAATTTAAATTGCTGTTAACTACCAGCATTTGATGCAAGGAATAAAAATTAGGACAGTTCTCTAACGCGGTGACGGCGTTCATCGAGATCAATACAAAATCAGATGCTTCTAACTTGATTAGATTAGAAAACGCGACATATCAAAGCCCTATAAATAGCCCTACGTTGTAAGAAAAAACTGCGATTGAGGGAGCTTATCTAACACTAGACAGGGGTTCGTACAAAGAGGTTTTCCTCGCATGCATAGAATTCATAAAAGTGTCACAATTTCTATACGTTTCAACCCCTTGCCCATACCAGTCTCGTCTACAGTGACGCATGCTAAAGGAACAATATCGACATGACACAGTAGTCAGACGGACGATTACCACCACCTACAGGACCCAGGGGTAAGGTATGCGATACGTCTTTTAAACACAATGCATTATATTGTTCTTGTTCTTTAGATAATCGTAGAGTTCCAGACGTGAAAGTTTTGTTTATCATCTCTTTCGATGTTAAAAAAGTGAAACCTCTAATTTGTAGAGCATTATCAGTGTACACCCATATACTATGGGCGTGAGTGTAATTGCCGCAGACTGGCAGACTGCATTGATCTAAATTACCCTTTGTATTACAAACTGAAAAAAACTATAGCCATAGCTAATGGGTATTAGATAAGTATTCGTCCTTGCCATTGCAGACGTGTTTAGTACGTTACTGGAACGATTTTTCTTTATTTCTTATCTTCAATCTTCATCATTTTCGTTTTGCACCACAAAAGCAGTATGCCGAGAATAATAATACAATTTCCATCGAATATCTTCGCAGTGTTTAAAAACCGCATGCATATTATTTCTGTTTCACACTGTAACCTAACACTATACGCGAAACGCCTTTTACCCAGCGTAATACCAAATGCTGCTGCAGTCATAATTCAAAATGGAAATAAACTGCACCACTATAGACAACGAGCGACAAAGTCACTTCCGATTGACGAATATTGACCAACATATAATCAATTAGTCTCTTGACCATTGTCTACCTATTGCTAAAAACAGAATTGGAAAATTCGAAACCGTTAGTGAGATATCGTATCCACAGACGGACGGACAGAAAGTCCAAAATCATAAAAATCAGTTCATATCTGTTAACAATATGAAATGGATGAACAATTAAAAAAACGTTTTAAATAAAAACTAAATCATCAGGGACGTTATATGTCTACTCCTAAAATAATCAAATTGGTTTTTTTAAAAAGGGTATTTTTTCTAAATTTACGATTTAACCCTGACGTTTTTTTTTTCATTTTTAGATATTGCTTACGTAATGAAGAACTTGTTATTATTGAAGATATGGCACGAATTTTTGAGTTCTGATTTTGAGTTTTGATACCCTATATATTTTAATCAAAAAAAGGACACTAAAAAATGGATTCAAATATTCAAAAAAGATTTGAAAAAAATTTTAATAATTCAGAAATCTTTTTGAATTTTTGTATATTTTTTTGAATCATTGGTACCTCCGTTCTAATGGAACACCCTGTATATTTTATCCAAAAATATAACATTAAACAAACAAAACTGATTCAAAGATTCAAAAAAGATTTCCAAAAAATGAAAACAATTCAAAAATCTTTTTGAATTCTTTTGTTTTTTTAATCATGCATTTTTTAATCATTTGAACCTTTTTAGATTAAAATATACAGGGTGTTCTATTTAAAAAATGAGGTTAGGTCCGCGTCCGATA